GCATTAGGGATATTAATATGGTCAACTGTACTTTATTAATACAAGCGACCCGTCCCGGCTTCGCACGGGTGGGTTACAAATGTTTGAAATTCTCGGCATGTTCTATGTTATAACATTCATATAAACATATAACCGTTATAATAATATTAATATTAGTGACCCAGGACTGTACACACAGCGCCATCTAGTCCCAGGTTAAGCAGAGCTTATGCAATGGGTACTAAGTAGTACTAACCAACTGATATAATAACTTTTTTTTAAATTTTGTATGATAGAAAACACGCAACCAATACAAACAATTACATTCATGAATATAAATGTTGATACCGAGCAAGGAATCGAATCCGCTACCATCGAAACTAAATCAGTGTGCTAAACCGCAAGACAACCAAGCCGATTGTAATGATTATTGACTATTAAAAAAAAACTTCCCTAATTATATTCTACCCGTGTTGTAACTCACAATGCCTTCGGGCACCATAGCTGAGGGACACTAGTTCCAATCCAATCAAATCAAGCAGTTAGTAAGTAATTTTATCAATCTAATACTAGTATTTAACTACTTTATTTCTACACGCACAACGGCCCAAACGAGAGCCTATACGGATAATAGTGCCCAAATATACAATACTATTTTTTTTTATTGGGTTGTTTGGGTTATTATCAGGTGCTTGGACCTGTAGCACTGTGACCTACACAGATCTATTGCGCTCGCCGTTTTTCAGAGTACGCCACCTAGACCGACAAACATACACAATACTACCTTATTTCTTTCGCAAAGTTGCAGTACATGCGTTATTACGTAGCATGTAAGATTATGTATTGTATAACTGTTGTTTCGGTCCGACTGGTAAGATAACAAGAATTGCTGTCGCAAGAGGAACAACTTATTTTAAAGATTAGGTGGTATAGTTAACCCGTCTACATCAAATTCAATATTAAACGCTGGCACAATACCAGTGGAGTATGAAAGAATAAAATAAAAAGTAGGTTCTATAGCCCTTACTATAGAATTGTCTTGTAATATAATTATTTATTATCGTCTCCAAGTAAGATGAAGAATAAGGTCAAAAGGCAGACCTTTTTTCCTAGAGATATATGACATTTATACATAGTTAAAGTTACTAATAAATTACTGAGTACGGAATGACATAGTAAACCTCCGTAATAACATTACATATTTTTGATACCGTTCCACCATATACCATTTATCATTGAGTGCCTGTCAGCTATAAGCCATTTCAATTACATAAAGAAAGAGCATCTTAAGGTAAAGAAAGCTGGAGCGCACAAGTACAAATCACAGATGCAATCACCAATAGATTAAAATTGAATAATTAAATTAAAAAACACCCAATTATATGGCAATTTTTTATCAATATCCTACCGACAGACCTACAGAGTATAGAATCTACCAACCTTATTACTCACACATTATTTATATCCAAGCTGTCTGTAAGAGATTGCATTAAGCACACTTAAGCAAAAACATTCCTTTTGTATGTACTTATTATTTCAGTGTGCAATAAAGACTTTTTACTATCATTATTTATTACATTGCACCATCATGGTTTCAGCCCGGAAGACGTCCACTGCTGAACAAAGGCCTCTCCGAGTTTTGGGAGAGGCCTTTGTCCACGACGACCGGTTCTGCACTGCTCGCATGCAACGCTTTCCAGCGATCTTGACCAGATTGTCGGGCCACCTTTTCGAAGGCCTTCCTACGCTGCATATTTCGGTCCGCGGTCACCACTCGAGGACTTTACTGTCCCAATATAAATACAATGTTATATACATCTATTATTCTGCCTAGCTATGAGATGTTATCATTTCCGCTATCGCTCCTCTTATGTACCAAACTTACAACCGAACAAGCAAGGCCGCGTGCTCGCGTGGGAACGTAAAAGTAAATCGCTAAATTCCGTTTCATTAAACTTATCTTTATTATCTGTACTGTGTTTATAGAATATGCTAATAGTGGTCACTTTACTGGTCTATATTTATATAAAATCCGGATAACATTTTTTGGGAAAATATACTTTATGGTCATAGCAATAAGAACGCTGTGGCTAGCATAATGCACGCAAAGGTTTCCTCATTGAAATGTCATAGTATATAAATTATGGGTACATTGAAGCAAATGGAGCAGTAAAAACCACAAATGCTAATTTGATACGGTTAATTTAAAGTACAGCATAAATAATATCACTATGACATGGTCAGCTTGACCTCCACGTGGTTCCCCCTGGAAACCATCACGTTAAATTCCTGGTGAATTTATCACGATGCGCTAACTAAACTGACTTTATGCTCAACTTATTCTCCACTGGTGGCACGAGCGTAAACCGTTAGAGCAGGCGAATGCATCATTCTATTATCATCCCTTAAAAAAACATTCGATTATTCGAATCATCAACCACATCGCCTTTATAAATTAAATAAATAAATAAACCAACAAAACATCAGTTTAATTGGTAATTGAACGATCTTTAAATAGCCCCTTTATGTCCATGCGGTGTCGATAATTATCTCGACACAAAAGAAAAATGTAACAACACTATATTCACAAAGCTCGTACACATCTATAGTGATGCGCCGAACAAAAGATCGATGTCTATGATTTCACTCTCTAAATTATTTTTAATTGAAACGTCAGTCAGAACGCGTGTGTACTTTTTGTCTCTTTCCATCGTGAGATTAAAGATATTGTGGTGAGTCATTGTATGTATGTTGGAGGTTATTTTCGATGTATGATCAATTTTACATGAATCAAATGGAAGCTCTATTAAAAATTAATAATAACATTAGTGGTTGCGCGTTGTTGTTTCACTGGGTGGCCTATAGATTAATCTTTCCAATCTGTTTTCCCAAGATATGTTCTAATTTTTTTTGTGTCTTTCCTGAATAGGTCTAATGTTTTAGACCTATTCAGTCCTGAATAGGTCCTGAATAGGACACAAAAAAAATTAGAACATATCTTTTGTGTGTAATTTTTTGTGTCTTGAGACGTCCTGAATAGGTCTAAAACAGTATCCAGTGTTATTAAATTTCAAAATTCGATTTTACGTTATCAAATAAAAAAAAAAATTTTTTTTTCAAATACTTTTATTAATTAATTATTTTTTTGATTAAACGTATCATATTTTTGAATATGATACTTGTAGTTTGGTTTGATTAAATTTAGGACTGGCAACAAAACGAAACCATGTAAATTTAAATACATGTCCTAAATGCTAACAAATCACCTTTGTATTTTGAAGTAAAAAAATTGTCGGCTGACTCTAACGCGATGCATTATACGAATTAAAAAAAATGCAGTGCTATCTTCTTAGTGCAAATTTTTCAAATCTGAATTATATATTTTGAGAAAAAAAAACAAAAAAAACACTTAAAACTGTATATAAGCAACGTTTAGTAGAGTATTGTACAGCCGGTATAGCGGTGTAATAACAATGATACCGAGTTATCCAGTAGTAATAGCGCCAATTTGGCGTCTAGTAATAAATTATCAGCTTTATACGTATATCTTTAATGTACATTTCTGTTCGTATTTAGAAAAATGTTACTAGTTAATTTAGTTTGTTCAGTGATCACTAGATGGCGCTGTGTGAAATGTAGAAGGCGCTTTTAAATTGTTTTTGCTTTTAATGACCTTTTCAATTACGAAATGAATTTTAGTTAGTCGCCGGAAACATTTGAGATAACTATTCTTGTAGACTACTTTATACAAAATCTGCCTGCGTAATAATGATATAACCCTTTGATGTATTTAAAAAATATATACAAATAAAAAAACTTGTATAAATTTGCTAACAAAAGTCGGCCTTATCGCTTAAAGCAATCTCTTAAGGCGACGCATCGCAAATATTGACCTCAGATACCTTAATTTTTCTCAGCAATTACTAATCCTTCGGGGCTGATATTTTGAATTAAGTCCTGATTAATTCCCTATAATGGTCGACTAAGATCTTCATCTTAATTTTCTTAACCCTATCATCCTCATGCTGGTGAATTAGTCGCGATGAGCTAACTGACCTGACCTCATAGTCTTCTTATCATCCTCCACTGGTGCCCCGCTAGAGTATACCATTAGCGCAGGCGATGGCACCATTCCATTATCAATCCTCAAAAAAATTCCTATCATTCTCCATTGGTGCCCCGCTAGCGTATACCGTTATCGCAGACGGGTGCACCATTTCATTTTCAACCATAAAACAGTGCCATCACCACACAGAGATCAAAACAATTGCGTCCTTGTAACAGATTGTTATACGGAAGCTTAAAAATTATCTTTATTACTTTTCTTTATGGTTGAATTTACATTCACGGCGCATGCAAGGATAATCGAATGAGACCATACAAATTATAATAATGCATTTCATTATGTTCCCGACCTACCACAAGCATCCTGCTACTTTCTACTCTCGCCGACAGCGACGCAAGCTATTCCAAACTGTATATTTAACAGCATTAAGTATATAATTATGTGGTTTTAAGAGGACTGTAAAATAATTTTATCTTTACTTGGTTGATTATTATCGACAGACGCCTAAACGGCCTTCGGGACAGAATAACTGAAGATTTAATTTATTATGTCGTTACTGGTTGTTTATGTTATGTGTAGAGACATTTATTTTGATGAAATATTACATATCTGCGATGAATTATTTGGTACAATAACATTAAAAATAATGATTAAATTAATTAAATATAATTTAAAATATAAGTAACGAATGTGTCGCTAGGTAACATGAAAAAAGCACACGCAATCAATTTATATATATTAGTTTGCATTTCCATGAGTAATAAAATAGTAAAAACATTATTCGTAATAATATATGTGCATCATTATCACTCGAAAAATATAAAAAAATTGTAGCTAAGAACAAACTCGAAACGTAAGCTTACAAACAGAGAAAAAACTATCATAATAGCTTCATTCATTTATACACGTCTTTGTTTCTGAAGTTATAAACCAATCAATGAAATGATTTACATACCTTATCGCTAATGGTCAGCTCAATGGAAGAATAACATTTGCAAAGTTATAATCTGAAACAAATAATAATTAATATCAGTCATTTATTTTATTTTAATCAGTAAATATGAATTATATATTAAAAAACGAAATAATATTAAATAATTATTATTACAAAATTATAAAAATTTGAGGAGTTTATAACTGGGATTACAACACGGGGTGTGAAAATTAGAATTTTTTATTCTATATCACTATAAAAAGCATTCGCTCATAATTTAATAATAATACTTTATTTATTACAGGCATTTTTGGCTATTTTGTTTTACAATTTAGCATTACAATTTTCTTAAGAGTTAAAGTTAGTGAATAAAATAAGAAATATATAAAAAAAATAAAAACAAAAATAGGAAAGATAAAAAAACATTTATTATGTAGAAATACAGTAGAATAATCAAGAAACAAATAACTTTTAAACACGCAGACTGGTTACAGAAGTGTCGAGATTCCGAGATGCATTTTTATACATACATCATAATAAATACCAATTGTAATAAAAATAACAAATGGTACATAAACATTTTAGTTTTACAGCTCGGAACTGATTGGACCAGTTTGACCGAGTTCAAAAATTGCTAATATTTTTTTTATTCTACACACTAACTACGAAATCATTCAGTGGAGTTTACATCACGGAGCGAAGTTATTTCTATAGCGCGTTTTAGAATTCGACATCAGCGCCATCTAGTATCACTGTATGTAAACTTATATAATATTCCTGTCTGCTAACTAATAAAATTTGTAAGGTAAATACATTAACTAAATTATAATTAAGTATTTCGAATTGAACATTATATTGGAGTTTGACGCGGTTATTATTTGTAAGTATAATTAGTAAATCACGGATCTTACCACGTTTTATTTTTGTTCCCGATATTTCGGCAGGGTAAACTGTACCCGTGATCATGGCCGTTGAAACACTGCCGAAATATCGGGAACTCAAGATTTACTAATTATACTTATTATATTGGAGGTTATAATAAAAATATTAAAAATTAAGAAAATAGCGACTTCTATGGAGTGCTGACTATTTTGTAGTTTTTGCAGTCAACTGGTGTTGTTTTGTGGAAATAAATTATTGAAATTGAATAGGCACGTTCTTTATCTATACATATAAATAAATTTGGAGTGTCTGTTTGTAATATTGAAATAACTGTTTTTTACTACATGTATTTGAATATAAATACGGTACATACACCAAAATAACATTTTTTACAATTTTTGACTGTCTGTTTGTTTGTTCTGGCTAGTCTTAGTCCCATAAGATCCCATAAAGTCCCATAAGATGTAATAAGGAGTAACTTAGGCTACTTTTATTTTAGATAAATAAAGTTAATTTCCACGCGGGCGATGTCGCGGGTACAGTTAGTATTAATATAAAATAAAATTACATGTAATTTTATTTACTCACTTTACTAAATGAGGTTCTTATATATATTATAACGGTCTGAGTATTGTAGATGTAAATACCCAAAAACATACATTTATGTATTATATTTGTATCAGTCGTCCAGTACACATAATACAAGCTCTGCTTAGTTTGGTACTAAATGGCGCTGTGTGAATTGTTCTGTGAAAAAAAAACAATATCTAATGTACTATTATTTCAAGAATAGATCTATCTATTCATCAAATGTTATCATTACAGAGTATATAACGAAGTCGCTGTCGCTGTCTGTCCGTCTCTATGTATGCTTAAATCGCTACGGATTTTGAAGCGGCTTTTTTTTAATAGATAGAGTGATTCAAGAGGATGGTTTATATGTTTAATACATATACATCCGGGCGAAACCGAAGCGAGTAGCTAGTTTTATATATAAATTATATCAAATATCAAATAATAATTATAATTATTATTTGATATAATTTATATATTATATATTTGATATATCAAATAAAAAATATCAAATATCAAAATCCGTTGCGTAGGTTTCAAGATTTAAGCATACATAGGGACGGACAGACCGCGAGAGCGACTTTTTTTTTATACTATGTAATGACTATAAAAGCAATATGTCTTTTGTACTATAATATTAATAACAAACAAAATAACTAATTTAATTTTATAATAAAATAAATTTATATGACGATTCAATCTTCAATTTAATAATAGCTAATATATAATCTTATTTGACGATTAAGTATCATTTACTGTCTTATTATTATACAAAAGGATAAACCTGTTTTAACTTTAGTAATAAACCTCACCTAAAATGTTTTCTCTTTACAATATACTCGTTAGTTACAAATAGTTAACTATCGACTTACTGCAATGTCCCTATTAAAATATATATTCCCAGTTGCTTGTATCTGGTGCTCGATCATAAGTAGCGGTTGATTTGAAATTCCTAAGCTTTCCGTGTACAGACAGACAGACAGGTGACAGCACTGACTGCGACCGGTAGTCAGGGATACAGATGCCTGTAGGTAAGAATTATACTTCTGGTTTCATAATCCTATACCACAGATAAGAAAATATTACATATAATATTGTAAATTGGAAAGTTTGTTTGTCAATTATAAGTTTAAAGAATGAAATATATTTTTACTAGCTACTCGCCCTGGCTTCGCCCGGGTGTATATGTATTATACATATAAACCTTCCTATTGAATCATTCTATCTATAAAAAAACCGCTTCTAAATCCGTTGTGTAGTTCTAAAGATTTAAGCATACATAGGGACGGACAGACAGCGATAGCGACTTTGTTTTATACTATATAATGATAAATACATTATTTTTATTAATTGAACTAAGGAAAGTCTAAGGAAATGTTGGCTAACTGTGAAATGTCAGTGTGATAATGTTTATATTTTTGATCTCTGTATGATTGGTCATCCGCCCCAGGGAGGTAAAGGTTGGGGCCCCGGGGCGAACCCCTGTGCCCCGGCGTATACTCCGGGGGCAACAACCTCCGGGGGGCTGTATTGAAGCCTCTTATAGCAAGTATAAAATTAAAATAACTGAAACTAATTTACAAAAGTAGTGCCATACTCGAACAGAATTCTTTTATTTTTTTGTTTCCTTTCGAATGACGTTTCCTTGTTTACATTTTTGGTTTCGAATTAAATTCCCTACTACAGTTTTATGGTATGAGTATGGACGACGGAATCCTGTCCTCAAGGATGACGTTTAGCTCCAGCTGCGCATGCGCTGCCCATTTGCAAGATGACAGTGACGATACGTCAATATTGTGGTCGTAATAAGGGCGTTTGTATTTTGTCCTATTAAAATTTCTCGTTCTGATACTGGTAGGTATGCTGCTACCACTGTTTGTTTTAACAAGAGCATGTGACAGACATACACAAAAGTTTTCCATTTAATTTTGTAGAAGTTGGTATATATGTAATTATATTAAATAAAATAAATAATAAATATAAATTAGTGATCGCTAACGGTCGAAATTCGACCATAATTAATCTAAATATGTATATATAACTCAAAGGTAACAGTGATCTATCAACGCCCAAACACAGCCCAAACCACTGGATCGGATCGGGCTGAAATTTGGCATGCAGGTAGATGTTATGACGTAGGCATCCGCTAAGAACAGATTTTGATTAATTCTACCCCCAAGGGGATAAAATAGGGGATGAAAGTTTGTATGGAACTTTATCAATTTTAAACCGATCGAGCTGAGACTTTGCATGCATAAAGCTACTATGACGTAGGCACCCCCTAAGAAAGGATTTTGATAAATTCCAACCCTAAGGGTATCCCCTAATTAACGCGAGTGAAGCCGCGGGCAACAGCTAGTATGATATACAGTTAGACTAACAGACTAACAATATTAATATATTCCTAATTTGGCCATAGCCTTTAAAAAAAAATGTGTGTGTGTAATATTTTTTATTTATTATTTTTTTGTTTTTTATTAGTCTTCTACAATCTTCTTTATATAGACTACTAACTATGCGCGCAGTTTCAGAGGCATCCATCCATACTCACAAAATTTCGCGTTTATAATATTAATAAGATTAAGATAAGTGTGCGAAATTACATACTCATCCGTCCGCGCAAACTTCGTAAAAAGGGGTACAACGTTTTTGCTTCACGTATATATAGATATACAGATATTTTCTTGTTGGGAATAGTACCTACTTACTTTCAATTCAATATATCGAATAGATGATCGAGAATGTGAATGAAATGAAATATTGAAAATACAGTCATACATTTACTTGCCATTCAGTGAATTGCGATGCAAATCTATCGCCGGAGCCGTCTCTATAATATCGATAATGGTTATAGATAACTGATCTGATGGTAGATAGTAAAGTAACCCTACATACTGGGTGGCACCATACACATTCTATCTATTTATCTTCACGCCAAGTCCTTTAGAGTATATGCAGAGAGTACGTAATGCTATAATAATAATAATCTCAGGACAATTCACACAGCGCCATCTAGACCCAAGTTAAGCTAGCTAAAGCTTGTGTTATGGGGCCTAGACAACTGATACAAATACATAGATAATTTTTTTTCGTAAATATGTATTTACGGAAAAAAATTATCTATGTACTACATGTTATACATAGAAAACACCCAGACTGATACAAACAATCATACTCATTTGTGTCGTGCGAGGAATCGAACCCGCGACCATCGGACGTAAAGCGGTGTGCTAGACCGCTAGACCACCGAGGTCGTCAAACCTTTATCATTAAAACACAGAATTCTTGTTGGTGATTCTTAAGAACATGAAAAAATAAGGGCCAAGCCCAGGATTTAGTTATATTTTTATGTAATTGGGGAACACCTTTGCCCAGCAGTGGGACAACATACGAGTAGATTATTAATAATAATATTGTAAATGGGCATCAGTTTGTCGGTGATCATCTGTCACAGGTCCATCTTAACATCTCCATACTATCTCTCTCTCTCTCTCTCATCTCTTATATTGTTATTATTATTTAAATACTCGTTTGTAAGATGAAACAGTCAATCAGTTACATTGCTAGGAATTAGGCCAGCAGGTCATATTACTATATACATATAAATAAAATTGGAGT